CTTCACGTAACATGACCGCACAATCAACTAGATTGAAGGCATTTTGAAAATCCACCAATAACATCGGAACCACGATCCTTTATCAACCGATTCACATCATGAAGAATTGCCTCACCTCCCGAAGAAACTCCAACACCAAATTGGAGACCATCAAAGTAGCTTCCTAAAGACTGACCAACCATAACAACACTGACCTTTGAAACCAGACGCCGCCAAACAGTACCCACAGCTATAGGACGAATACCACCACCAGGCTTGACAAGTGGTGTAAGAGGAGCACTAGCAATATACCCTCCTAGCTCCATAGGACACTTTCCAGCTAGAAAGAGATTAACCACCTTAGAAATAGAGTCAACTAACTCATCTGATACAGCCACAGCAGCACCACTCAAGCAATGCATAAGGTGTTGAGCACGTAAACCGTCCCTACCACATGATGTGCCACGTGGAAAACTCTTAATCCGATCCAAAACAACATCAGAATTAGTAACGAGATGAAGGCCATCAACAGGTATATTAGGCAAGGATGGAGCTGGAGAAGTAGGGTGTTTAGACTGTAAATCCGCGAGAGTGGCGTCATTATAAGGAGCAACACCTGAAGAAGAAAGAACCCGAACTGCAGCAGTGTAATGGCCGTCACAAATCTTCCTACGACATTGCTTGATATTAAGATACTCCAAATCCAGGTCCTCATCACCAAGTACTGATAAAGTAGGAGAATCCTCTGCCAAAGTATCCCTCACAAGCTGCAAATTACCACCTGGTGCACTCCAAGAACAAATATCACAGGAAATACTCTCTTCTTGATGCCGGCGTTTTACCAAAGACCTAGACTCAGAGCTGCTCCGCAGACGAAAGGTTTTAAGGGTGCAAAGAGGTAACACAAACAAAGAGACCCAACTAGAAATGTCATCAGGCCTAGAGATCACCTTATCAAGGCACCTTTCAGAACCTGAGAAAACCCCAAACGACACTTGGGAGGTATTGATTTCACAGTACGAAACCCCTTGGAGAACAAACAATCAAGGAGAGCCACATCAAAACCACAATGTTGATCTTGCACCAAACCACCTATGCGTCCAAGCTGAGCCGGAGAAGAGGGAGCTTGCGGCTTGGAGAAACCATGAAGCACAAAACGAACAATACCATCTCCTGCATCCGGGGGTGACACAATCTCACTCGGACTGTGACGACACTTAGTACAATGCGTATGCGTTTTGTAACAAACCCCACATAACCAAATCCCCATACGCGAAAAAGTAACTTCAGCCTCAGTATAAACGCCTAAATGTGAAGAAAGATAATGTCGAGTGATATCCCGCGCACCAATACAAAAATGACGATCATAAAGATGCTTGATAAGAGAACTTTTAGTAAGACCATTGCCACTTCCATCTTGACAACAACTAATACCCACAAAGTGGCAATGAAACTTCACCCGAGTAGCCGACATAGCTACACACAACCACCACCAAAAACCACTAGCGAAAACACCTTGAAACACCAACAAAAACCAATACAAAGTAACCCAAAACAGTAAGCAACAAAGCACCCAAAACAGCCCTTCAATAACGCCAAAACAGCACCAAAACCAGCCCCATATACTACAACAAAGCCGCCTGTAATTACACCCAAAAAAACGGCAGAAATCCGCTGGTGTAACGGCAGAAAACAGAGGTTGTCGCCGGATCAAATAACGCCGGAAAATCAGCTTGCAAGTTGCCACAAGGACGCCCAAAAACAGCCCCCTAAACTCGCTTGCAATGCGACCTGAAAAAGCCTGGAAATTGACCAGAAAACCGGTTGAAACGGTTGCTGAAAACAACCTGTAAACAGCCGGAAAACGAACACAAAACGCCTGCAAACAGCCCAAAACACGAACACAAAACACGACCACAAAACGCCTGCAAACAGCCGGAAAACAAAGCCAATCTGACCTTACAAACCGTCGCCGGGAAACCACCGGAAAGTCGCCTGAAAACCGCCGATAAAAGCCTTAAAATGCCCTTCAATACTACACCAAATAAGCCCGATTCCACCTGAATTTCGCCCAGAAATTGCACCCAAAACACCTTAAAAATGCCGGACCTGAATGCACGACCACCGAGGTCTTGATTTCGCCGGAAAAGCACCACTAATCGCCGGAAAAATGACGTCGTGGAACCCAACCCAACCCAACCCTACCCTAGTCGCCTAAACGAGAGGAAAAACTTATTATTGTTGTTATATTATTGTTGTTGTTGTTGTTATTGTTGTTTTTTTTTTTTTAAATAATTATTATTATTATTATTATTATTATATCTCAAAAATAGACAAAGTCATACAACCTACAAAAAAAATTAGTGGGAAGCCGAGATACAATTTAGGCCCCCACTCTTCTAGCTATAGCAAAACCTATCCTAGTGAAGATATAAGCAGCAGCACGTGCCCAATGTCCTAAGTCTTCGAGAACTTCTGGATCCTCTTCAGCAATGCAACAACCTCCCTTTCTAATTCCCCAAGTGAAGAGAAAGAGAAAGGAAGGAAGCCATATCCAATTGCTCGACAACTGGATTCGTTGACTTGCTTTCTAAGGGCCGCATCAGCCACAACTCGTCCAAGAACAAAGTCAGATAGCCCAGACTTATTATTATTATTATTATTATTATTATTATTATTATTATTATTATTATTATTATTATTATTATTATTATTATTATTATCTCCTAATATAAACTTGTCAATTATTTTGCCATAGTTTCTGATATAGTCAATACAAATAATATTATCTTCATTTGGACTTTTGGATACCAAAAATTTTCCTTGTACATTCACTTAAAAGTAAAAACATTCTTTTTTCAAAAAAAGAAGTAAAAACATTCTTACAATCTTTCACATCTTTCCTATCATATATTTTTTTTTTCCATATTGTAAATTACATATACCCGCTTCTTTTTAGGAGTAAAATATATTTTGGGTACTTATCTTTCATTTTTTACCTTATGTGGGAACTCGCCTTTCTTTTTTCATCTATAGGCGATTGTGGAAGGGTATTAAAGGAATTTTGGTGAAGTAATTATTTTATTTTTAATTTAATTGATTTAATTTTATTTTTTGTACAACTGACATATTCGATATATTTCACTCTTATTTACACAATTACACCTGTTCGATCTCTGCTTAACTTTAAACTTTCTATTCTATTACTTTTAAATATATATGCATATACGAAATTTAAAAGGTGTCTTCCAAATTTGATGATTAAAGATTTGTATACTTGTCTTATTCATATGTTTTGCCTTTTTTTTTTTTCCTATTGTAATTAAATACTCCCTTCATCTCTTAATTTTTGTCCCATTGCAAAAATATGGGTTAAACTTTTAAAACTTTGACCATGAATCCTCGTTAATATATAAGTGATAATATATTAATGTGGAATCTTGTTAGAATCGTTTCATTGTATAGTTTATAAATTATCAAATTTTTATAATTTTTACGCATATAGAAATGGAGATATGTACGTTTGAAGACACGTCTTGGAAACTGTGAAAAGTCAAATGGGGCAAAAACATAAGAGATATAGAGGGAATATGAATTACCATATATGCTTTATAATTTTTTATTTTATTTTATTTTATCAAAGTATTATTGTGTTTAAAAATCCATATTACTAATTTTCAGAATTTTGAATTTTTCGAGGTTTAAGAAGTTTTTTTTTATTTATTTTTTTCTAATTAGACCAAATTGAATCATTTTGAATTGGAGGATATTGAGTATTTTGTTTGTGAAAATTAATTACTACCTCCATTACATATTAGTTGCAACTTTAGGTATTATTTGTGAGAAATAAAATATTTCAAAGTTGCAACTAATATGTAACGGAGATAGTAATATGACTCTGGAAAGCAAACTATTTTGCAAAGTCAATAACTCTTTTATTATTTTAAGAATTCTATTGGAGGCTAGTAGACACTTTCTTGTGGTGAAAGTTGTAATCAAAACACATTTTGAGAGTAGTTTTGTAATTAAGTGGGTAGATTTTTGAATTCTGGTGGTCGGCGGTACGTTAATTTTGAAAAATGAAAGGTGAATCCCCAAATGATGAAAAGTATGAAAGGTGAATCCCAAAAATGCATTTTACATTTCTGTTTACTGTTTGTCTGATTTGGAATTTTAAGATATTGAATATATTAATTGTAACCATAATTGTATATACTTCAAAACATAATTATAAGATCTTATTGAATTTGTCTCGATTTTATAATTTTAGGGTGTGTTTTCCTCCCCTTATTAGACCTGAATTATCTGAACTGAACTTATCTAAACTTATTAGACCTTATTAAACTTATTAGACTTATTGAACTTATTTATTAGACCTTATTATTAACCTTGATTAGAACTTATTAGACCTTGTATAACTTATTAGAACTTATTAGACCTTATTAAACTTATTATGTCTTATTAAATTTATTGGACCTTATTCTAACTTATCTGAACTTATTAGACCTAAAAAATTATTTTTATATCTGTAATTCATGACTTGATATCTTAAAACTGTGAAAAAAAAAAAAAACAACCGAAGGGAGTGGTATAAACTAAAAATAATCTAAATTAAGCCCAAACTAGAAATAATCTTAGTTATTTCCATGCAATCGTGCATGCACATGGTCGATGCTAGTCATGCTATAAAAACACAAAAATAGGACAGCGGATTTCTACTGCCCATTTCTAGAAGAGGACGAGCATATCACTAAACATTATCCTTTGAATATTCCAAAATCCCCATTGTTCTTTAGGAGTACGTCAAATTCATAAATTATATAGGTAAGTCATTTCTCTACACTACAAAACTTTGAGTCATTTCTTCACTCCCACCTAAACTTATAAATAGATGAACCTAAAAACTGTCCACCAAATGAATAAATAGTGTTATCAAGGATTTTATATAATAAAAGACAAGAATGGACAACTCTTATCAAAAACCCCATTTAACTTTCAAATTGTTGCTTACTAACTCATGTTGAACAAATGAAACTTTTATTAGTACGTTTCTATGTTTTCTTAAAAAAATTGAAGAGCTTTAAATGTTTCACAAAATGTGGTTTTTGGTTGGGGGATTATTTATGAAATTATTGTTGTTGATTGGAGTTAGATATGAGAAGGGATATTGTACACTCATTTTCACAATTCAATTAGCCATCTTTCTCATTTATTGCACTAATTTATTGCAGTAGGTAGCAGATTAATTTATTTTATTAAAAAAAATAAAAAAATTAAAATTAAAATAAAATAAAAAATGTAAACAAACCTTAAGTTCTTGGCATATGGTTAAAAACATTACAACAGCAAACACAACATTTGGTAGACAATAAATATGACTAGATCATGGTACAATTAAAGGGTTGGCAACTAACATAGAGGTACAAACTGCAATGATTTTACAGTGTATAATCACTCTTTCACAGCCCTAAATCTGGCCAAGAAAGCTTGACAATTCATCAAAAGTTTATGCTCTGAAAGGTCTGTTGCCTGAAAATTATTAGCAGATAAAAACATGAATTAGATTCTGTATAAGAGATCCGGAATTCGAAACTTCTAGCAAATTCGCCTGCAGATGCATGTCCTTATTATACAGACTGAAGTGAAAAGCACATAAACAGTTTTTACTAGCCCAATCTCTGGTGAATCAGATAAAGGGATTTACAGATATACAAGCACATTCAGCATGTAGCTCTTGCCAGATCTAGAAAACGCACACAAAGACGCAAACCTTCACGTGTCATTTTATATTATAGACTACTTGTATATGTTTAGGATAATCCTTGAATAAAAGGACACAACCACCTACTAACCTAGTGTACATCATCAATTCAAGTAAACAGCTTCTATAACAGGAAGTTTTATCTTTATGTTGAATTAAGGATGGACAGTTGGGGAGCAGGGTGTTCATCAGTCACCAGAATGAGTCTCTTAGTCAATATGCATACAACAGGACTAGGTACTTCCGAAACAAATCTATCAAAATTTGCGACTGTCCCACTTGCTTAAAATTTATACGTAATTGATTACGATTATAGATACAAAATGTAGTGCACTTATTTGGAATCTCTAGGGTGACATAAGAAGGAATAACATGAGCAACCTTTCGAAAATTCCATTTAGCGTAGTGGCTAAAGGAGTAACAACAATAGATATACCAGTAAATAAACTTACCAAATATAAGTTGATTGATGCTTTCTTGGTAAGGATACGATCTTAAATTAGTAAAAATCTAAAATCTCATCACAAACTGTCGTCACATACGCTATTGCAGTATTAACAGCAGAAGAAACATAACTCAAATCTTAGAACAACCAATTAGAATAGTTCAGTTTTGAGAGGGCATTTCTTACTAAAGTTACTGCCATGATCTATGTGATGACAGTTCTGACAGTAAATAAATTCCTTTGCCTGTAATAAAATCACTACAGGGGACCAAGTCAATTTCGCAAGTGGCACATTCATTTGATTGCAAAATAATCAGGAAAATTAAGTTATATGTAGTGACTGACAAAAAAATTGAAAATATATAAATAAATACATAAATTTGTAGACATCCAGCATTTTGAATTTTCTTTATGCCAATCCCATAGCAAGAAATAATTCGAACATTCATGATTACCTCGGTTCTCAGGTTCTCGTAGCAATCAATATTTGTTTTCCAATTACTTCTGCAATGCCCTATACAGAAGCCTGAATCACAAATATAACCTGTAAAAGATCAGAAATTTGTCTAAACAATGTATAGATCCAATAGTAATGTAATTAACAGATACTATATATGTCAGATACCCAGAATCTGAAATTACAAGAAAAAGGGAAAGGAAAACTTAAAGGGGTGTGGAGATTAAGTTCATCAATTTAGGGTTAGAGTTAATACCAAGTGGCCCACTGACTTCACCAACTGTATAAATCTTATCAGGAACAAAGAGCTGTTGAAAAACTTTTTTAATTTTTTTACTGCTTAAAAAGGGAGCATAAGAAAATGAACAGCCTGGACCTGTAAAAATAAAAATAAGGGTGATTGTAGGTTGTAGTTGTTATTAATGCTTCCATAATCTTTTATGAGTCAAGCCCATGTCCTGAGTGATTGAGAGAGATACAGACAGATTGAAAGGGATAGGAAAGACACTAAAAGTTTACCTAAACAAGATAATATGTTTCTTATGCTCACAAATTCTTATAAAGAGGCACTAAAAGGAACAACTTTCCTTACAAAATAATATATCAAAAAAAACACCAGTAAATTCTTTTGTTTATTTTTCCCACTTAATTTCTCTCTATTTGTTTCCTCTCATGGAGCTTCTCACAGCACTCTATCTATTTCCCTTCTTGTACATCGCTTACCTTCTATGTAAGCAGGTAATTAATAAGAGGGATCAATGCTGCTACATGCTTCACTATGAGTGCTTCAAGCCTCCAGAAGATAGGAAGCTTAGCACTGAAAAATGTGCCAGCATTGTATTCCGAAACAAGAGACTTCGTATCGAGGAATTTAGGTACCTCTTAAAAACAATAGTGAGTTCTGGCATTGGAGAGTCAACTTACTGTCCTAAAAATGTCATTGAAGGCAGAGAAGCAAGTCCTACTCTTAATGATGCCCTGGAAGAGATGGATGAAATCATCTTCACAACACTCGATAAGCTATTCGATAGGTCAGGGATATCCCCAACAGATGTTGATATCCTTATTGTCAATGTCTCCTTGCTTGCTACGGTTCCTTCTCTCACATCCCGGGTTGTTAACCGTTATAGTATGCGGCACGACATCAAGACATTTAACGTCACTGGGATGGGTTGTAGTGCAAGCCTCATTGCCATTGATATCGTCCAGCAACTTTTTAAAGTACACAAGAATGTGAATGCTATTATCGTTAGCACTGAATCCATGGGAACACACTGGTACACGGGCAGAGAACGATCCTTCATGCTCTCTAACTGTCTGTTCCGCACAGGGGGTTGCTCAATGCTCTTCTCAAACAACAGACATTTGAAACATCGGGCAATTATCAAGCTCAACTACTTGTTGAGAACCCACCTTGGAGCCGATGATGAGGCATACAATTGTTGCTTCCAAAAAGAAGACGATGAGGGGTACCCTGGATTTTGTCTCACCAGGCATCTCCCAAAGGCAGCTGCTCAAGCCTTTACTGAGAATCTTAAGGTGCTGGTGCCTAGGATTTTACCGTTACGGGAGTTGATCCGATATCTACTTATATCTAGTAGTTGGACAAAGGGTGACCTTGAAAAAGTTGGAAAAGGATTGAATTTCAAGGCTGGTATTCAACACTTCTGCATACATCCAGGTGGCAGGGCAGTTATTGATGGTACAGGAAAAGGCTTGCAGCTCAGTGATTACGATTTGGAACCCGCTAGGATGGCACTTCACAGATGGGGAAATACCTCGGCCGCTGGCTTCTGGTATGTTCTGGGTTACATGGAGGCTAAAAAGAGACTCAAGAAAGGGGATAAGATTCTCATGATCAGCTTTGGGGCAGGGTTCAAGTGCAATAATTGTTTGTGGGAGGTGATGCGAGATTTAAAAGATAGGAATGCTTGGGATGACTGCATAGATGAATACCCAGTGAAAACCATAGTAAATCCTTTTATGGAAAGGTACAACTGGATCAATGATGAAACATTAAGCTTCGTTAGACTGGACTAGAGAGGCAAGAACACCACCAATACTGTTAGCATATTTCTTTTCCATGTATGTTGTTCTTGATCTTGAATTTTATTTGTGTTTTCTTTTTATTAAAAAAGTTTAGGTTTCCAGCATAATTGCTGGTTATAGGGCCATATTATTCTGGTTATAGGTCCATGTAATTCTTACACCAATCTGATTGATCTAAAATCACCCCTCCCCACAAAAAAGAAAAGAGAGAATAATGTTATTTTCTTGGTTTTATAATTAGAGTGAGTATCTAAATTTTTTGTAAAAATGCCCTTATCACCATGTTATATTTGTATTGAGCACCATCCACTTACCAAACACGACCCTCTGGTGCCTGATCCGCTAACAGTAGACTGAATTTTTCCACAACGAACTCTACTACTTGACCATGGCTTAGGATGAGGATTATAAGGGAGAAACATGTCTAGTGGAAAATTAAATGTCACATAAAAGGTTGGGTAGCATGATAAAACACTTCCAAATATGGGTGATATCATAATAGGTACTAAAACTACTCCCCGGCCCCTCTGTTTTTTCCCCTCCTGAAACCACCATCTCTGGTTCTCCACCAACCCTTAATTTAGTCCCTTGTATGCATGGCTTCGGATCTAATAACCCTTACCCTTAAATGCGACTACACCAACGGGGGTCACGTCTTGTTTTCCCAGTGAAGATTATGAAATTTTAATTTACTTCCTAATATTAGAAACAACATACAGACATACAGTTGCTTGCTAATTCATTACATTACCATAACAAACTTATCAAGGATTCAAGCTTACACACAATCCTAAGAAAATTAATGGAACATTAACTATCCTTAAATTGGTTTAATATTAACAAATAAATCAGTTTCCAACTAAACAGGACATAAACATTAAAATTAAACTGTTCACATCACATATGAAGCAAGTCTTTGTCTATAACCACGAAAAGCAACGGTCTGGATATTAAGAGATTAGGTGTAAATAAACAACTCATTAAGCAACTTATCTTAGAATATACATAACTTGCTTGAACATAACTTGGAAAGACAGCTATCATCAAAACAGTCTTTAATGCTTGACCAGTCAGTGAGTGAATTGAATAAATGGCTCCAACTCTAACGCTACTTTCAGAGGTTGACATTTCTCAACCAAATCAATATTATCCCTCCGTTTCATAAAGGAGAAAGAAGGCAAATTACTGTGGTAGGTCAGAGTGCAAGAGCTTCTGAAAGAAGAACTTTATTCAGTCACCAGAAGTCCACAGCCTTCAGAGAGTAGTAAAAATTTCAGAGAGTAGTAAAAATGTTTGATATAGAAAAAGAACATAGTCTCTACAACTTCCTAGCATGGCAATTGCAACTTATCCTGACTCGAGGCTACTGCAACTAAATTTGATATAGACTGAAGTATTTGGAGACGATATAGTCATCACACCTTCCTCACAGGGATATTGCAATTAATCCTGTATCCATTGACTCAAATTTTTTTTTGTATTATAGTTCCTTCCAGTAATATATCGAACATTCTGTTGGCAACATATTTTGGTTCTTACAGGTCTTTTCTATCAATACCCTTTTCTTATGATATCTTTTAGCCATACCATTGAGCAAGAATCCACAACAAAAATGGTAATAAAGATTTAAGCAGAGAGAGACTCTCTTTTACTTGACTTAAATGCACAAGTTTTCTTCTATTTCGTGTTCTCGAAAGGCTCTCTTATAACATATTCTCCTCAAAAAATAAGCGATTAACCCAAATGCTCTTCATCTCCGGCCTACAACCAACTATACATCTATTTTTTAAATTGGTTCAACTCCCAGAACTTCTCTCTCTTAGGGTCCCAACCCAGGACCAACTATACATCTCTAAAACGAGCATCGATGTCAAAATTGCAGTTATCAATAGCAACCCATAATCATTACCCAAGTAGCTACGTAAATTCTAGATGATTGGCAACTGAATTAAAAAACTAGGATAACAATTCATTCACCTAACTGCATTGCCATATCTTTATCTAAGAATCATGAGCACACTAAAAAATTTAACCGAATCTTTTACAGAACAATATCATAACTGTCCCATAAGTTGTCACTTTCCCAAAGCAAAACTATAGACGAGGGAGTAACTTTGATTAATCCATAAAAGGATTACGACCTCTCAAGGCATGGGTTACAAACTCAACTGTGGTAGTGAGAGACTGATAACCACTTTCATGGGCAATGCAGGTGTGGTTTGCAGCTGTTGCGGCCTTGTGTTTTGGTCGCAGTAAGCTCAAAATCCTGTATGATGTGGTTGTGATGCATAATGTTGCCGAAATTTACCACCATGACCATGGTATTAGATTTTGACCGAATCACCACATTGTAAAGGGTTTTAAGGTTTATCAGGACCAAAATATTAAGCTGCAACAGTCACGTACCGCCCGCGTTGCCCACGAAAGTGGATCTGCAACCAGTACGGCTATCGTTCATATATGAGATTTAAAACCATGCCATGGACTAAAGTGTGAGATTGTGATCACAAAGCATGAGAGAGAATTTTCACCCGACAAAAAATAAGGGGATTGCTGAATCATTTAGAAAACATAAAAATGACCATAATCCCCTGTTGCCAACAGAGATCCTTTACTCCCTTCAATTATCCAAGAATTCACTGCTGCTAGAATGCTGCTGTGACAGAAAAGTAATGGAGGAGGGTCCAAAAGGCAATTTATGATTATATGTTCTGCATGTGCATAATAGAAAGTTTTAATTTCAAAGGACCAGAAAGGACATAGGGTGGATGTTCAGTAATAAGTTACCTCTTACAACCTTTCCTTCTACAACCACTTCTCCTAAGTCCTTTCCTCCTTACTAATGAAACATGAAAAGTAAAAACAATACTATATCTGCCACAAACTATATCCTAAGATCTGCCATGTACCACAATTTACAAAAGCATAGTGGGTCTTCATAAACATCCTCCCTATGAATTTCAAAAACATATTTGTGGGTCTTCATATATATCCACATCCTCTGATCCTTAGATGAGCAATTTGATCATTTCTCCCCAATTCTTCTTAGTTTGACCTTTACTCTCTTAGAATTCATCACCACCACATTTTTCCATCTCATCAAGGCATCAAGACGCCTCCTCTTAGCTTTACTTTTTACTATCATACAATCTTCCTAAGGTGCTCCTCCATTCTAACAAAATAATTTACAGTTATTTATCCATTGGCTAGGATCTGAGTTTCCTAATCCGTGATGTGCTTTAATACACGGAACGAGTACGCAGCACATAATTTGCTACCTAATTCTGTTTTAAAATCCCAAGTGTTCCATAGTACCAGTATGAAATTCGCAAGGGGGAAGCGGAGTTAAGGTAACACTGGCTAGGATGATTGACACTACTTCCGTATAGCTTTACCCAAATAATTGAGTTAAATAATATGCCCTTATTCCATAGGAAACTCTTTGGTCTTGATGCATCCCTAGAAGGTCTTAGTACGCCATTTAGATATGCTCTAGTGTCAAAAACAGTCTAAATAGACAGAATAAAACAAAGTCCTAACATATCAAATGGAAAACACAGCTGTAACACAAATTTTAACTCCTTCCTACATACATGTGAAATGTCAGATATAATATACCCTGTCCGTATGCAAAACCAATTCAAGGCACAAACACATTCAGAAGAAAAAAAAATTGCTACAAACCTAGTTCCCTTACTGTATGAGGTACAGTATAAGATGTAGAAGCTAGAGGCCGGCTACAAGCATTGTGGCATTCTCTTCTATGGTGACCAATATCCTCTACACAATACTATTAGATGCAATCAAGTATATTCCTTATGATATCCACCCATGTTTCTACACTGAGCTAATGCCATGAATGTAGATCACTCTTTTTACCCAATCTCATACTCCCTCTTTTTTTCAAGTGTAACACTTCCCATAACCAGCCGTCTTTTGTAAGTGCAACTATTCTAAAAATGGAAATCTTCTACACTTATATATCATATCTCTCTCCAGTCTCCACCCATAGTCTCCACTCTACTTTCTTTATTATTTCCTTTCTCTCACATCACTTACTTTTAAAAGCATTATTCACCCAGTTTCTCTTTTCTATAACTTTTAATTTCCAACCTCACTTACATATTATTTTAACAAATTCAACTAAAGCTCCAAAAACTACGTAAAGTCAACTTGTTGCATTAAAAAAAAAAGGAAGAATTACTCACTTTAGTCATCCAAATGTGCTACACTACTACCTTTACCTACTTTATTATAAAAGGGTCATGGGTCTTCTCTTCATAATTGTGAGAGATTACAAAGACTCTTGGGTTTATGTTCTTGAGAGGTGAGTTGTACTTTAAGGGATGTTGTGAGTGTGACTAGTAAGTTTTAATTGATATGTGAAGGGTGTTTTCCTCGTAAACTCCTGTTTGCCATTATCTTCTATGTTCACATCTTATATATGTTCATCACACACACACTAACACACTATGAATGTAAATTAGGTGGTCAAAACTATTGCAAGGGCTACATAGACAAATCTTACTTTCTCTTGAAATCCCTAAATCACAATTAAGCAGCACAACAAGAGTTGTAAACAAAACCACCAAGGCAAGTTAATTCCGGTCTATGTAGTTTGTATCTCTCTGTTTACGCATATGGTTTCTTTTTATCTTTACTTTGATTGACATGATACAGAGGGTTTTCTCAAACATTAAGATGTAGGGATTTAAAATATTTTCTTATATCGCTTATAATGGGTACGTGTCCAAGGGTACGTACCCGTTATCAGTTCCATCAAAAAGATCCAATCAAACATCCCTAGCATATTTTTGCAGTGGTGAATTGTTGTTTTACTTATATCAAGGTCTTCATGCTTTGAGTTTTAGAAATTGTTTGCCCCTTTCCTATCCTAATCAATAGGTGACAGCCATAGAGAAAAATCACAACTGTAACCATGGTCTCAAACTCTCAGTAACTGCCATAGTGTGCAAAAGCAAGCATCATGCAAATGTAAACTCTTAAATGTATTGTGAACTACATTAGGGTCATTGTGTTTAAATGTTGCTATTTAAAGTTTAAACACAAAGGTCGTTATATTAACAAAAAGGCCACTATGTTAAAATAAAAGTCATTGTATTATAATCAATAGGTGACAAACCTTGCAACCATGGTCTCAGACTCTCATTAATTTATTGTGAACTACATTAGGGTCATTGTGTTTAAATGTTGCTATTTAAAGTTTAAACACAAAGGTCATTATATTAACAAAAAGGCCACTATGTTAAATTAAAAGTCATTGTATTATAATAAAGGTCATTAGAGATGTATATGTATATTATAATTGAAGTTTTAATAGGCTAGTCAATCGAATAATAAAGGTCATTATGTTAAAATTAAGGTCACTTTGTTTAACGTAAAGTCGGTTGGTGTGTATAATTAAAGTTTTAATATACTGGTCAATATGAATAAGAAAGGTCATTATGTTAAAATCAGGGTCACTATGTTAACATAATGTCTGTTGGTGCGTATGGACCACAGATAATATTATTGTGGACCATGTCCACACAAGTTTGTCCTGCAAATGTAAGGTCAATGGCAGCATGATTTGATATGTTGGAAGTTTTCCACTTCATTGTAACATATACAAATTAGAAGAACCTTATCTTTTCATTTTGTCAAGACTTTACACGTTAAAGTGCACATGTAAGATTTTATAAGTGAATCCAATAGTATCAATCTACTATAACATATTAGATGTCAGTATATGATATTTAAACATGTTAAAATTACTTTTCTAAAGATGTCAAGACAGAATAGACTTCTTAAATAACAGAATGGGCTTAAATTAGTTCCATGATCACACCCACTTGGTGTAATTTAAGAAAACTTCCACAAGGCAGTAGCCACTACTTATTAGAAAACCAAAAAGTCCATGACAATTGGTAAAAGAAGGTCATGAACAGAAATTCATATAGAGATAAAATTCCAAGGGAAATTACCAATTTAGCACAGAGGTACCCATGAAAACTGACATCCCGTGGGAGGGAGTTCTCAGGCAAAACACATAAAGGCCTTTGAGTAATTAATTCAGGTAAACTGAGGACTATTCAGGACCTCTAAAAAACAGGGATAATCAAAGAGCTTTTGGCTTACCTTGTGACAGAATATTCAGCTTTTTTGTTTTTTTAAAGCAAGCTGAGAGCTTCTTTCTGCTGCTATCTACTAGTGACCAGAGTAACCAGAAAATTCATTTAATATGGTTGTAGCATTGCAGTTATGTGAAATGTCAGATCTCATCTCCACTGCATAGAAAAGGCAATATGAATGAGGCACAAAAATCAACCAATCCCGCCACCAAAATAGATAAATATATAAGCAATAAAAACATAACGAAAACAAAAATCAAACTCCCTAGTGGCACAACCTAGCTAAGAAAGAACATAAATCAATAACATAATACTAAAGGCGTGTCATGTACTGATTAAAAAATTTCCGGCCACTTTGACTTTTTTTTTTTTTTTAAGTTTTTCAAATCGTCATGCATATTAATTGATATATCCTATAATATCTAACTTTCAATTATTCTATATGCATTCAATGAAAATATTTTAACATATCTTTCATATATTTTATAATAGGTATTTTCTATAATAAACAACATATACTATGTGTATGAGGTAATATTATTAGAATAATGTACTACTCCCAAACTCCGTATCATTCTACATCATATTTTTTCATTTGAAAGTTTTTCTGTTGATTACCTTTGATTATATATTTGTTGATTTATTTATAATAATAACACTACAATTCAATAACTATAAACATAAAATAAAAATTAAAAAACCTTGATTATTAATTGTCACAAAAAATAAGTCACTTAAATTTGTATAAAACACTTGTGCAAGTCAAAGTATGCTATAAAATATTGTGCCGGTCAAAACATGCCAACATAAAAAGGGACATATGGAGTTGCACGGTTTACAAATAACATAAAATTTTATTCTTATATAAAATCCTATAATTATGAAATTTGTGTTTTTTTTAAATGTTTAATGATCAATACGAGTAACTTTTGAGATCAATATAACATAAAATTCAAGTTAATTTTTTTTGAAAAGAAATTCAAGTATTTGTTTCAATCAAAAATATTGATTTTTAAATTATTGTTAAATTAACATAGTAATTTATAATTAGGTTAAGTAAAAACCGTGCGTTGCACGGGACTTAAACTAGTATAGATACTAATACCAAGCTTTATGCTCCTCAAAGGAATCATGGTACAAATTTGCATACCCCCTTGATTTAGATATAAAATCCCTTGCAACCATAATGTGGACCTCATTAGTCTAGTAAGTCATTTTATAGTCGTTATCTCATCATCATGTTTTTACTTTCACCTCAAATAAATGTAATTAAATCAAAACAACTTGAAAAATGGTCAGTTGTTCAATTCACAACTAAAAATAAGTTTGATGAGTTCACATAGGTTAAGTTAAGGTCAAACAAGTTTAATAACAAGTTTGGTGAAAACGACGAAACACTAACCACATTGTTACTCATAATTTAAACAAGAGTGCTTAAGATACACGCCACGATTTGTCTAGTGCTTAAACTACAGTGCCCTTAGACAGCAGTTGCATAACCTTGTCACACTTCAGGAAAGCATCTTACAGAAAAACTTAGGCAAAATCAAAGATTGGCTTTGAACGAGAATACTTTTAGACTCAACTGTAATCATCTATAATCATTTGGCCTGATAAATTCCAGTTCTGTAGCCTTGCAGTAAATCTACAGTAATTCCTCAATCATTCACCTTCACGCAAACTAGTCAGAGTAAAGGAAAATTAGTTATGGAAGAAATGTCATCTATGATATTTAAACTCAGCTCATTAAACATAACTAATGCTTTTCACATGTTATGATCCTCGACATATGTATAATCATCACCTTCCCTTTGATAGCAAAATTCATTTAAGTAGTCCAGCTCAAAAAACAATGAAGTAATAAATTAGACCCCGCAGAGTCCAAAAAAATAAAATTACTCAAAACTAAATCTTTTACCCCTTAAACAAATTCTAACATAGATAATCAACTTGATCTATTAATTGTCTCAGAGCCCCATTTAAAAGAAAATTGTACTAATTGGCCCTTTTCCGGATTGTCATTCACTGGGAAACATTTTAAAATTCTTCCGCTAACCCATTGAATCCTAATCGAACTTACATTGTTTTCCAGCGAAAATATTAACTCAGAAAAATGAGGAACACCAATCTTAAAGACAACATATTGAATCTAAAAGGCAGATTATGACATGTGTCTGTATTAAGTAGACAGGCAATGGTTCATTGTCATCACAAACAAAATAGCAGACGAAAGTCACAGGCTACCATTCAGAAAAAAGGGTCAAGAGCCTCAAGTTAAAAGACAAATCTATGAGGTGAGGCACAAATATAAGTCTGCATGAAGGTTTATTTTAAAGGTATTTTATTAGCTCTGATACAAATTTCATAGAGGTTTTTGCTTTGCAAAATAATGTAGTTAACTAAGGTCTATAGATTTAATTTCTTAATAAGTCAATATATTTTTATTTCTTTCCCTGTAATTTTATTAAATTGGCTAAAAAATCTAAGGTTTAGGGTACTCTCAAACCCATACCAAAAAAAAATTCTTATCATCGAGCAATGCCCTCAACTTGTGCAAATTACAAGCTGGGTCTCTCAGCACATAATTTCATCCTCTCCCTAATAGAGCATCCACTACCAAATGTTTGCAAGATCCTCAACACGCTTTTCCAATATTTATAAGGTAGTAACTTAGATAACTTAAAATGACTTATTGCTGAACAACTGTCTTGAGCCCACACTCTGCATAGCTGGTGCCTATTTTTCATCCTAACTCGTCTACCTGTTTACATTTGTGAGTTGTGATTCAAACACTTCCCCATCAAGTCAACTAGCTTCAACTTGTCCAAGAGGTCTTCCCAAAATCCTCTACTTCACCTCATCACAAATACTCCCTCCATCCTAAAATGGATTTCATACTTAGCTTCAAATCTTCAATAAGAAGTCAAAAATAAATAAAATAATATAAAAACACTTGCGGCTTGCCATTCAAGTAAATTTTCTGTTACTTTTGTTCTCTCACTCTCTCTCAATTCCTATACTTTCTCTAACATTTTTCCCCTATCTACTATTCCAAATCTTCAAGTGACACCCAAGTACGATATCTATTTTAAGGATAGAGGGAGTAATAAGACCTCAGTACTTGGCTTAGGGTTCCCCAGGCAGCCTCTTAAAAACTATCTAGTAAATCAACAATCACTGGTCATCATGAGATCTTCCCATTCTCTGCAGTCTGCAATCTTCTCACCTTATTATTGCCCAAAATCCTCAAACACAAACCTCTCCTTAACAGTTGAATAATCTTGGCCAACAGAGGGCTATTATAATCATCGGTATACACACCTTCTGCCAGAATCCCATGCTCCTCTTCCCATTTATGCTACACCCACTTGGCTCACACAACCAGGCATTTCAGTTTCCTTTCTGAGCCTCAGTGCCCTCATATGTAGCTTATCAGGGTAGTAGCTATCTACCAAAAATATTGGTTAAAAGCAGAGAGGCAGGTCTAGTTACTCATACTAGGAAGTTATTTCCTTACCATGTTATTAATGTAGGTTCTTAAGAAATGATTTCGCAATTAATTAAGTATTAACCAGCTGAGGGTTCCATCAAGGGAGAAAAAACCCAATTAGAGCCTTTAGAGGTCGTTCTGATTTCTTGTACTAAGAAATAGGGACAACATTTCAGCTGACTTGCCTAATATCCCTGCAGCCGAATTCTTGATGGTGGACTGGGGATGGAAATGAAATGTAATGTATCCACCATATATGGTGTACATACCATTACCCAATACCCACTTAAAACAATCAAACAATTATGAATAATTTTCACTTTTGGAAGGACTTATTCAAAGTTCTAAGGCTAAAAGCAGGCAAATGACTACTCATGGATGTGGCACTTGATTTTTGTATGATGATATGAATTTATGTTCACACTAAATGGCCTGCATATAACCCCGTGCCCTCCAAATTGACATGGCTTCAATAAATATTTTCCCTTGGTTTTAGCTGAGTGCTTACATAACTGGTTGAGCTACCTAATAGGATGGAGTGGTCAAATCTTTTGACTTCTCCATTAGGTTCAAGAAAGGGAGCCTATCTGACCTCTCGGATTTACTAATTTTCAATTAGATAAAGATAGATATTCCCTAGAATGGTTGATCAAAACAGTATTACACCAGATTCTGAAATTGATAATAAACTAAACTGGCTTTACTGAAAAGTTTGATCCCCAGAGAAACACTTATTTTTGGGTGTAAAAAGTGCCACAAAGGGTAAATGATGCACTGGGATTCTATCACTGTGCATAATACTACGACTACTTCCCCCCTCCCCAACTCCCAAGACTTTACCAAGTTCACTTGCAATCACTTCAGGAAAACTATATGCCTTATTTGGCTCATCATCTCCTTGGTCACATTAATTACTTCTGAAGATGTGCGATATTGAAAAACATATCCAAGTCCCCAATTTGGCCACAGCACAGAAGGAAATTCTTATCATGGGCTCCAGTTTCTTAGAAGCGCCAGTAAACCAACTACTTAGGTCTTAGGAAACAAGAGAAAATTTTAGACAAACCCCTAAATTATACTCCGTAATAATTATATTCTCAACATATAAACCCCAATTTGCAAAGTCTAATCCATCATAAAAGAGCATGTATGAGAACTTCCGTATAGCAACAAAAACACAATAGTTTTTCACCTAATCTCACACTATCAACCTATAACAGTAAATTTCCGCTTCCCGGTCCTTAACAAAATACTGATTTTATCTCTTAATTGATTAATTTCTACTGATGATTCTTCACTCCCCTCATTCAAACTCAAAATAACAGTTTTCGTATTCCCAAAATTGAACATTTATTCTTTTGCATTCAAGAGGTAAAATCTAAATTTACAATTTCAAAGAAAAATTCAAATCCTTCTTGAGAAAAATTAGTACACATATCTCTGCAATCAGTTTATATTGATTTATCAAATTTTTCAGAAATAACTCTACAATTCTACAAATAATTGTCAATAACATAAACACGGAAATGTCACAAGTACTTCAACTTGAAAACAAAATTGCTCAACGCATATTAAAATCCACAACACCAACAAATAAAAATCAAGCAATTTCACAAGAATTTGCAGCATTTCCATTTCAAAAAATACCAACATAAAACCCCATCATTAATTTCCTTTTTATGAACTAAACCCCATTTCATGCAATCAACTTATACAGCATCAAAATTGAGAAAACAAATAAAATTAATATAAATAAGCCAAATTGGAAGAAAATTGTACATACCCAATTGATAATTCAGCAAGATAAAATTCTTGGAAATAATGTGGCTATTGAAATTCAGGAAGATACAAATTCTTGAAAATTGTATTGAGTACTCCGTAGTAGTAGCTAGTAATGGCGAAGCAGATTGAGAAAGAGAAGTGTGTAGAATAGATTATAAATACACATAGTCTCGTGGCTCATGCATATGAATCCCTGAATTTGAACACATTCCAATGATTGCTAAATGCCAACCAAATTCTATTCCTGTGAATATTCAAATAGTGGGGTCTTACCGTGGGAGGATATCACAGGCTCTAGCAACTAGAGTCGAGAAAACCTCTAGCAGGGGCAGAATGGGAAATTCGCGTTTAGTAAGGGTAAGCACCGTTTTCCGTATTTCAACTTCCAAAAAAACTTCCTTTCTCATCTTCCAAAAAGAATTTAAAATACAGAAGTTCCCTCTATGTGCACTCACTCTCTCACTTTATTTCGCGTCGTTCTTCTCGCTTCGCTTCTCTGTCGGCATTCTTGTTAGTTCGTTTGTTATTGTTAGTTGGTTGGTGGTTGATTGGTTGTCGTTATTCTCGATATCGTATTCCCGGTAATACAGGTAACAAATTTGGAAACCCTAGAATTTTGAAATGTGTACTGTCTGTGTGGTTGTTTTTGTAGTTTTTGGCGAAATTTGAAATTTTGAATGCATGTACTAAAATTATTGTTAATTGGGGTTATTCTAGATTGTGTTAATCAATTTGGAGTTTTTTGTGCGAATACAAGAAAGATTAAGCATATTTCTGTCCAATTTTACCCAAAAATGAATTTATACTATGACAATTTTGAAATAAAGCTGTGTAATTGATGTGCGGAAAACCATGAAATTTGTTTTTACTAGGGTGTTGATAGATTTGGGCTTGTCCAATAATTCGGAATTCAGGTTTTATGTAGAAGTAATTGATGTGTGGAAAACCATGAAATTTGTTTTTACTATGGGTTTTGATTGTATTTGGGCTTCTGAAAGTTCAATTGATGTGAATTGCAGATTTGTTGGTTCAAAGTCGATTGATGTTAGTATTTGAAACCTTAATTAATTGTTCAAAATTTCATGTCCAACAAAAAAATACGAATTTGAGTTGAACTAAACCTCTAATATTATTTCAAAGTATTTATGTGCAGATCTATTTGGGTTTGTGAAAGTTCAATTGATGTGAAATGCAGATTTGTTGGTTCAAAGTGGACTTATGTTGGTATTTGAAACCTTATTTAATTGTATAAAATTTCATGTTTACAAAACTAACAAACTGAATTTTAGTGGAACTAAACTTCTTGTTAATAATGATGCAAGTATCTATTTGAAGTTAATAAACACTGTTTATCATGTAGAGGGACATATGGGACGAAAAAGGGGTGGTACTTCTGTTCCAACTGTTGGTAGTAGGGCAAAGTTGGGGGTGAGTAACTGTATGTTTAGTCGTATTGTTTACAATTGGGGGTATTAACCTTTATACTTTCTATGTTTACTGTTCCAGCTTACAATGAAGGAAGTGACAGAGGACCTTCTAGGAGTGGAAGGTGTAAATGTTGCTGGTGATAAAAGCCAGAGAGGTGTTGCTGGTAAAAGAAAAGGGCCAGCAAAGAAGAACATACCTGAGAAAAGTAGGAAAAAGAGGAAAGAAGGGGTTGAACCTTATCAAGTGACCTTCATGAATGAGTTGCTTGCTTCTGGCATTGGGGGGTTGAACAATTTGAAGATTCAGATGGTGGTGGAAGTGATGAGTCACAGCAAGTAAGTGAAGATGGCGGTGGAAGTGATGAGCAGGGTAGTGAGGAGGATGAAGAATTGCAGCATTTGGAGCGGAAAATCAGTAACGGCAACGCTGAAGCAGGCACGTTGAAGAAGAAAAGGGCGAAAGCAAGGGAAGCTAAATTGATAAATGTTGTTAAGGCCAAGGTGTTGGATCCGCAGCTAGCAGTAATAGTTCCAAATAGAGTATAAAGCTTTGTTTTTTGCATTCCATTATTTTATTTAATAGTCTGTGAGGTTGTTGGTTTGTATATGTAGGCGGTTGATAATCGTCCACTTGGAGTTATTGTGACAGAGAAGGAGAGGGTAGTAGATACCCAATCACATTTTTGTTCCAAGGTGTATTTTCTCGACATTCATTCATTGATATGTGTTATGATAGGAGATTCCCTCTTGTGTTATGATATTGGCTAATATGTCATGTATTGAACAGCTTGCTAATGTCATATGCCGCGTAGATGCATTTAGCAAGCTTATTGATGGACTGGATCCAACAAGGAAGATGGTAGTTCAAGACATGGGGTTTGGTGCACTTCTGAACCTGAAGTTGAACCGATTAGACAGGAAGTTTTGCTACTGGTTACATACTAGGGTGGATCCTCTAAGTTGTGTGATGCGATTTGGGGATGGCATGGAGTTGCCTTTAAGTCCCATGCAGTGGAACTATGTGCTAGGAATTCCGTACACACGCGAGCCAGTGTCGCTGACTTGTGAAAAGCTGGACTTAAATATGAACAAAAGAGTTAAGCTGATTAGCAAGTGGTTTGGAGTTGTGGATGCACAGGGAAGGACACACATCTCAGTTGGGCGGGCCGTTGAAGCGATTCAGTTAGGGTTGGAAGAAAAGGGGTATTCAGGCGGGCCCCTAGTTGATGATGATGATGTGTTGTATTTTAGGACTGCATTTCTTGTTGCTTTGTTGGGTCAAGTATTATGTTTGTCAATCGACGGTGGTAAATTTTCGATCTCGTTGGTGCCGGCTGTTGCAGTGGCTCATGATGCGGAGCTGTACAACTGGGCGGAGTTTAGCCATAATTGGCTGATGGCATTTCAGATAAAGTTTCAGGCCAAGATTGAGAAGTATGGGTTTGTAGCTAGTTGTGGAGGGTGTACGCTAATTTTACAGCTGTTTTACGTGGATCATTTGAGTTTGACTCCAAATTCATGGGGTGAGATGCCGAGGATTGATGTGTGGACGCTGGAGAGAGTGAGCAGTGTTATTGAAAAAGACAGGAGGCTGTCTGGTGACTATGGGAAGTTGAAGGTAAGATAAAGCTTGTCATTGGTTTAGTTTGTATTGTTGGTTGTGTATTGATATTTAAGTGTACAGTGCATTGATGTTGCATACGGTGAGCGGCATCCTCGCCTTGCGAGGGATAGGAGATTGCCGCAGGAGCTGGTTGGTTGCTCAATGCAGGATTTGATTGTTAGAAAGGTATGCGATGTTGGTTGTAGTTGATGTTGATAGATATTTCAGTTTTTCATGTCTTTTGATCCAGGTTGAGATTGTGCAGGTAGTAAAAGCCTTGACTCCTCGGTTGGAATCAATCGAGCGCAGCCTGGAGATATTGTTCAGGAGTAATAGGCTGGTCAAGGATGACAGTAGTGGAAGGCCACGAGCGCCTTTGAAGGGATTGAGTGCAGTTGCAGAGGCTGTAGTGAAAAAGGGGGCTGTAGTGAAGAAGGGGGCTGATGTAGCTGGGAAGAAAAATGTGCAATGGGTTGATCTGGATTCGTGTAATAGGATGGTACCAAGTGATCCCATGATGATGGATTTTGAGAATCTGTGCTCCATACGTGAGGTGCTTCATGGCATACAACATGAAAAGGTGGATGCTGATGCTGGGTTAGGTGGAGAGAATGCACCATAAGAGAAAGCACCAGGAGAGAATCCAGCAGGAGAGAATGCAAGGAATAATGAACTTGGGGAGAAGAATGTAGGAGAGAATAATAAAATGGGGGAGAAGAATGCAAGAGAGAAAAATGAAATGGGGGATAAGAACGCAGGAGATGGTTATTAAAAAAAATGGTAATGGAAATGGGGAGAAGAATGCAGGTGAAGAAAAGAGGGGTGAGGAAAAAACAAGTGCAGATGAGACTAGTGGTGGTGAGGAAAAAAATGAGTAAAAAGAGTCCTGGAAAAACAGGTGAGGTGGGGGATAAAGAAGGTGAACCTGTGCAGGGCAAACAACAAAAAAATTGAGAAGAACTTAAGTACTCCAAGGAAGGGGGGAGGTGGGGGACTCGTAGTGCCAGCAAATGACCATGGAGTGAGGTCGTGATGGCACCAAAGACTAGGACTTATGGCGATGTGGAGCGGAAAGTAAACACGTTGGTCAAGAATTGGTCTGTTAGGGCTGATGGTATTAGTGGGTAAGTGTATTGTGTTAGGATAGTTGTCGAATATTAAAGGCTAAAGATACCGGTTGTGTGTATAATGTAATGTCTTCATCATTGTATTGTAAGGGAGTTTCACTGATCTTGTGCGACGGGATGGATGCAACAGTTGGGGATTGCCATGGTGTTCAGAATATGTGAGCACGGGTGAGCACCCAATACGTGAGGACGGCAACTAAGCTGTATACCAAACAATGGGCTGTTATGTATGAGGGTTATCGCAGGAGAATTATGATAGATGTTACGTTCTCGGTAATATTTTTGATATATCTGTATAATTTTGCAACTAGTGTACAAGTTTTCTGTGATAAAAAGGAAATAATTTAGCTTAACTTGTTTATTGTTTGTGTAGCAACGAATAATTGATAAGGAAGAGGAGCCTAAGGTTGCAGCTAGGAAGCATGTCCAAAGTTTCAAAGGTTTGGCTATCAGCAACATTGGAGTGGTGAGTGCTATGTCTAGATCTTCGAATATGATTTTGTGCATTCATTATTGTATTGAACTGTAGATGAATAAGGTTCTATGTGTTCTGGTGGTAGGTTTTTGTACCTGTTCTGCAAAAGGAGCACTGGTGGTGTCTCACTCTGGATTTAAGGGATGAGTGCTTATGGTATATTGATTCCATGTTCCCTGATCCTGTTAAGCGACACAGAGCTATCCTTGAAAAGCTGGTAAGTATAAGATTGATTGGTTACAAGTTGTTATTGGACAACCGTGTTTATATTATTGCACAAGATGGTGGTAGGTTTTTGTACCTGTTCTGAAAAAGGAACTGTATGACAAGTAAGAACAACCCTTAGTTGCGTGGTTTTGAGTTGATTGGTATGTGTTGTTTTTCTGAATGGTTGTGCTGCTGTGTTTTCTGTGCAGTGAAAGCTGTGGTGTGCTGATGCAGTTGTGTATTAAGGAATGCGCGTACCAGTTCACTCATCGCTACGGTGTGGTATAATCCAAATCTGGGTGGACAGTTGTTTTGTTGTGTTATTTTTTATATTGAAATGCCTATTTATGACGGATTTCATTTGTCATGGTTTTTCTCTTATTACAGGGGAAGCTGGATGTTGCCCTAAACAGTCTGTTGTATGACGATCTTCGTAACGATGAAAATGAATTAAGACCCACATTTCCGTTGTTGCCCGGGGGTGATGGGGACTCGGTGTGACTTCTACCAGATGATTCCTATGCTGGTTTCTTTTGTATTTTTGTAAACAATTAGGCATTATTCATAATGTTTTTGTAAACAATTGTGCTTGCTTCATTTTGGAGACGACTGTTGATAACTGAAGGATAGCTGTAGCTTTTAGTATTTAATACAGTAAATTGATGTTTTATGGTATCTATATGGTAAATGTTGGTATATATATTTTGAATGGTAATTGTTGGTTTATATAAGTGGAGTGTTAGTATAATATTTATTTGTAATGCTTGTTCGTTTAAAACGACTGATGTTTATTTCTACCATTATAATAATTTAATCCAAAACAATAGCCTATTAATCCATTGATGAGAACAATACGATTATACGACACACTTAAACAAGAAAAACGAACTCAACTAAAAATACTAAAAAGTTTAGTTTGGTATGTTTTAACTTTATTTCCAATGTTAATTCAATTTGAAAAACTTATGATGACACGACAACTTAAGATATGTTGGAGTAAATGTGATAAATGCTTGTATCATAAAAAAGGAATTTCGTAACTGAACTGATTTGCATATGGTCATAAATACACACGGTTTCCTGTGGAGTTCATGTCTTGTTATATGTGTAATATATTGTTGGTATATTCACGTCTTACTTTAGTATTATCTATTATAACAATACAATTTAGTGCAAATTGCACTAATGTTAGTATTGTTTTTTTTTTCTGAAATGCTTGGAGATAGTCATTGTATTACCATAACGACATCGAGTGAAGGCATTTAAGAGAAATTAAGTACTTACACCTATATGTAAAGACATTTAAGATAAAGTACCACCATTGAGCTCCGAGCTGAAATAAAGTAATGGAGTCTGAAAAGATATGTGAAGGTAGTGGTATTTCATTTATATTACATGACTACTATAGACATGTTGGTTTAAATGGTGAACAAAATGTAGATTAAAAGGAGTTCCTTGTTTTAAAAGGGGAGCTGCTCCTTCATAACAAACTTACTGCCTTTGCTACAATAACCTACAAACCCTTGTTTTACACTTGGCTAGCTAACCATGAATACAACACCCCCAATTGACTATTATGGTGGTCGTAGTCCCTCACAAGGCTTTGTTTCTAGCAAGCCAACAAACGACCAAAACCGTAACAGACCAGCACGTCGCCTAACTTACAAGGAGAAAGGTAAGGCGAAAGAAGTGGAGGAGTACTCGGACAAGCCAGTGGTGTAGGATGATGCAGGCACGGAGGATGATTTAGTCACGGAGGAAGATTCAAGCACGGAGGATGACCAAGAGTTTGGATCTGCGATGGGATTTATTGCGGACAGGGCAGAAAGGGATGTGAAGGACACTATTGGTGCTATTGCTGTGGAGAAACGGTCGGCAGAGTGATTATTCCGCATTTGATTGCAACATTTGCACGCAGTGGAGAGGAAAGCATCTAAGGGATTCAATTCCATCCCGAATACCCATTTCTGAAACCGCTTAAACTTTCTAAGCCGCATAAGTTTAGGAAAGAAGCGTATTGTTTCCTCTATTACTTGCTTGATTCCTACAAAATGGCTTTTAGCTTCAACCTATGGAAATTACGGAAAACACTTAAGAAGTGAATGGCTAAACCACATTTTTATCCTCACTTGATACGGTTCTTCACGTTGTTTAAGTCATTAGAGGATTGGTACAAAGATGTTGGGAACAAGATATCGTATGGGCAGTGATTCATAACATAAGTTTTTGGGGGCTTTTAGTGTTGGGAAGAAAGTTTTCCTGGTCAATTTCGGTGGTGGAAAATTATGAAATTACGTTTGAGTGGATGAACTTTTCTAAGAAAGACATGTTTGTGCACTTAGGAGAAGATGAAGATGCATTTTTTATTTTAAAAAATGAGATGATTGAGTACAATGGGTTTGGTGCAATGGAGCACATGGACTTGTTGTTGGCGAACCCGAGCTTCGAAGATTTTCCACCTGAGCACAATTTGAAACTTGATCATGCAACGGTGAAGCTTGTACACAATACGATAAGCAAATCCGCAGGGCCTTCGGTGCTTCACAGTTTGGAAGAAGGGTCTTGATTAGGGGATTTTTCTCCCACCAATCACCATCTGACAAGTAAACCAATCAAGTTCCGCCATGTGTCCGTCACATGGGCCAATAGGAGCCTGCCACGTGTCAAGCAATGATCCGTCCACCTTGGACCAATTACGACACGACACGTGTCCTTCCCATGACACCTGGGATAACCGGTCACCTAGAACCAACTTCCGAGGGAAGCCCAATCAGCCCAAGGTTAACCTAAACCTAGATTGGCACGTTTCCCGAGGTTATAAATACCTCCCTTAATCCTCATTAAGGGGGATTACATGCAGATCACGCGAACAACGCAGATTACACACATTAAACACTCTCACCTAGAGAGACCCAATCACTTTAATTTCCGCATTAATTACTCCTTAATCAAGTACTAACTTGACCGTTGGAGGCGGAGCTCGCACCACCAGGAGTCTCCGTTGTTTTGCAGGTACAGGCGTCCGGTTCCAGTCTCGGAATTGTAACTCTCCCGCAGGACATCAGAAAACCCCGAAACATCTGGCGCCGTCTGTGGGGAGAGTACTTCTGAGATGGCATCCACGTTTATACCGACTCCTGAAGAGAGGCGTCCCCTAGACGACCCTCAAGTTCAGTCGGACCACGATACTGAGAATGAATTTGAAGTTGAAGCTCACACAGCTTCAGACTGGACCCTAAGGGCCCGACGTACCCGTCATACCGAAAGGAGGGAACGGGAACATCTTCAAACTGGAAGTGGGCCAGCAGGCGCACCGCCTGTTCGGCAGCAGCCGACTGATGGATCTGCTCCCATCACAAGGAACGAACTCATGACCTTCATGAGGGACTTCAAGGGAGAAATTCAAGAGTTGATCAACAAGAAGCCGCCTGCTCTGGACAAGGAGCAGTCGGCTAAGAAACCCTCCACTTCACAGAAGAGGAAGCCAGTTCAAGGGCGAGAGGCGACTCCTCATCCTAAATCTAGGAAGCGGGAGCCGACTGCCCTTGATTTCACAAAATACCGTTTTCCTACTCCAGGAACTAGGAAACCTGTTCGTCATATTCAGGCGGACGGGTCGAGGAAAACATACACAGACGCTCGGCTACTGCTAGAGCAGAAGAAGAGTGACCGATTGTCAGAGTCGGCCTCTACTTCAAACTTCCAAGACAGTCTGCGAAATACCTCAATAAGGCATACTCAGTCGTATCATGAGGGTCAATCAGGCGGCACCTCCCGTCAGTCCGGCTTTCATAGCGACCAGGCGGTACCAAACTTACCGTTTGTACCGCAACAACAGTATTTTTTACAGCCACCTCCGTTTGGTGGACATGCAGCAAAAAATGTCCAACCTATGGACTGGCAGCTACGGTTGCTTAGACTTGGTGAACAGCCGTCGGCCTTCTCCAAGGAAATTACTGAAGCCGCTCAGCCGGCCAAAGTGAAAAATGTATTAGTAGGCGCCTATGACGGCACTACTAACCCAGAAGACCATCTGATGGCATTCACCAACCTGATGTACCTTCAAGGGTTGGATGATCCCACTTGGTGCAAGTGTTTCCCAGCGACTCTCAAAGGAATCGCACAACAATGGTTCGGCAACCTGCCGACTGGTTGTGTAAATAGCTTCAGGACGCTTGCTTACTTATTCACCTCCAACTTCGCCATGAACATCCCTGCGAAGAAGACGACCCTTGATTTAGGAACAATTCAGCAGGGCGAGAAGGAGGGGCTTCGTTCTTACATCAGGCGGTTTAACCTGATGAGAATACAGATTCAAGGGTTACCGGATGAAGTAGCCTATACTGACTTTTTCAGAGGTCTCAAGGACGGGTCGACCTTCAAATTTGATTTGGTCCGAAAGAGGGTGGTGACTCTTCAAGAGGCCTTGATTGAAGCGGAAGCCTATATACAGGCGACTGATCTTTGTAGTACGGGAAAACAGTCGGACGGGAAAAGGTTCGATAAAAGAGATGGACGACAGAAACAGTCGTCAAACAAAGACGAGAAGAGAAAAGAGGTCTGGGCGGCTGTTTCCTCTAAACAGCCGGCCCTGAAAAAGAAAAAAGAATTCAAACCATACTCCCCAAAGTATGCGTTTAACAAGGATAGCCAATTTATCCTAAAGGAAATCAAGGGACGGATCTCAATTGAGAAGCCGGTCCCCATGAAGGGTTCTGCAAACAACCGGAACCAAGAAAAATTCTGTGCTTATCATGAAGATGTTGGTCATCACACCAATGAATGCATCAGTCTCATGCGGTATCTGGACCGCCTGGATGAGCAAGGTGATCTTGACACTTATGTCAAGAAATCTACGAGGAACACTTCCTCAAAAAAGCAGTCGACCAAAAAGAATCAACAGGCCGACAGCTCCGATACAGATGATGCAGTCGTCTACACCATTGCAGGCGGCTTCTCAGGAGGTGGCCCCACTATTAGGGGCAACAAAGACAATATCAGGCGGTTAGATGTAAATTCCGTTCACCAAGAACGGCCCTCCAAATATTCATTTCCTGAGATTGTCATCACTGAAGAAGATCTAGGAGGGGTAAGAGGGCCGCATGACGACCCTATCGTTATTGAATGTAAAGTGGCCAACCAGAGAGTTGGCCGAATCCTCATAGATACCGGAAGCTCCTCAGATCTCATCAGTAGCAAATGTCTGTCGAAACTAAAATATCAGACTGATTGCATACATCCGGCATCCCACCCTTTAGTAGGGTTTGGAGGAGGAGTCGTCCACCCAGTGGGACGAGTGGATTTACCCATCCGCCTGGGCGAAAAAGGGGAAGGACGACACATGGTAGTCCGGTTCCTGGTAGTAAAAGAACTCTCGGCCTACAACATGATTCTGGGACGACCAACCCTGAATAATTCCAAGGCTGTTATAATCCCATCTCTTATGTTGCTCAAGTTTGAGAGGGATAATGGAACAGTCGGGTCCCTAAGGGGAGATCAGAGGATGGCCCGAGAGTGCTATCTCTCGGATGTCAAGCCCACTGTTATGGCCACTGGGTCGAGTGGTGGAAAAATAGACCTTGACAATGTCAGGGAGAGTGCGCCTGTTCAAGAAGCTTGCGGCAAGAAGAGAAAGGCAGCCCAGACGGGGGCCGCAAGAAAAGACAGAAAATAGCAATCATTGGCAGAGGAGCGGTCGGATGAATTCCGCCCTCAGCCGGCTGGTGAGCAT